AACCTGAAGCAGAGCCTGGATGAGACGAAGTTGGCCCTTCAGTAGGCCGTCGAGGCGCATGAAGTCACTTCAAGTGAGAAGTTGACGCTGGAGGTCGAAGTGGCTCGGCTGAAGGAGGTTTGTGGAGAAATGGAGGGCCGAGCCCTCGCGGCGGAAGACGCGGAACGGATGAGAGTCCAGGAAGTACAAGAGCTGACGGCCCGAGAGAAGAAGGCTAAAGACGAGGCTGATGCCGCTATGGCGTCCTTCCGCGCCGAAGTGGAGGGCAAGATCGTGAAGGAGCACGAGGAAGGGTTTTGGCATGCCGTTCGGCAGGCCACTCATTTCGGCACCTTCCCCCCCGACTTCTCCTTTGAGCTGAGCAAGGACTTTCTTCAAGGGGCGTATATGGACTTTGCTGATGCGCCCTTGGACGTCGAGCCGGATGCGGCAGCTCCACCCAGATCGGCTCCCTCGGAAGACCCAGGAGCAACTGTGAATGAAGATGAGGAGACCGAGGACACTCATGCCGATTGATAGATGTTGGTGTTTAACTTTTTGCTTGTACATCTGTTTTGACCAAGATGTATAGATATAGGATATACTTTTTGCTTCTGCATTTTTGTTTAGTTGTCGGCTATTCGTGCCATGTCGCCATTGTACCCTTCGTCCAATAGCGCCGTTTTTGGCTTTAGAGCCTATTAATGAATTGTTTCTTATGCCTTCCATCGTGATTTGGCGATGCCTTTGTATATTCGGCATTATATCAATTTTGAGTAATCCGTGTCGTACGAACCGGCTTGAATTTGTTTTGAGGTTTGGGATATTGGCTAAGCGCTTTATTGGCCGAGGGCTGGGGCCTCTTTGTTGGCGGGTTCTAAGTCGTGGTTTCCTGTGGACGAGTGGTGTTAATCGGGAGGGGGTCGGTTTTATCCTTGGTCGAACGAATGTGCTCGGCGAGGAATTCTTTTGATTGCGTTTGGTGGGGAATTCTTTTAACTTTAGCCGAGTGAGGTACTCAGGAAGTGGTTTTCAACCTTGACTGAGTGAAGGACTCGGGAGGGATTTAAATACTCATCCTTGACCGAGCGAGTGTGCTCGGGAGGGATTTAAATACGCATCCTTGGCCGAGTGAGTGTGCTCGGGAAGGATTTAGATATTCACCCTTGGCCGAGCGAGTACGCTCGGGAGGGAATTCTTTCAACCTCGGCCGAGTGAGGTATTCGGGAGGTATTCAAATGCTCATCCTTGGCTGAGCGAGTGTACTCGGGAGGGAATTCTTTCACCCTCGGTCGAGTGAGGTACTCGGGAGGGGTTTAAATGCTCATCTTTGGCCGAGCGAGTGTGCTCGGGAGGGAATTCTTTCACCCTCGGTCGAGTGAGGTACTCGGGAGGGGTTTAAATGCTCATCTTTGGCCGAGCGAGTGTGCTCGGGAGGGAATTCTTTCACCCTCGGCCGAGTGAGGTACTCGGGAGGGATTTAGATACTTATCCTTGGCCGAGCGAATGCGCTCGGGAGGGAATTCTTTCCACCTCGGCCGAGTGAGGTACTCGGGAGGGGTTTAAATACTCATCCTTGGTCGAGTGAGTGCGCTCGGGAGGGAATTAGATATTCATCCTTGGCCGAGCGAATGCGCTCGGGAGGGAATTCTTTCCACCTCGGCCAAGTGAAGTACTTGGGAAGGGAGTGTATTTCATCTTTGGCCGAGTAGTAGGCACTCGGGAAGGGTTAAGTGATTCGACATGATTAAATTGTTGCCAAGTAATTTCTGAAAAAAGGAGCTGGTTTCATTGATATGGAGCCTCGTTAAAAACCTTTGTCAGTAAAACCTCTTTCACATTCTTATAGGAGGAAAAAACCTGACCAAGGAAAAGAGTGCTCCGAAACAATTTACATAAGAGTTTACTAGCTATAGTAATGCTTTAAGTGAGTTGCGTTCCATGTCCGAGGGATGGCTTTCCCTGTGAGTTCTTCTAACTTGTATGCTCCATTTTGCAAGTCGTGCATTATACGGTAGGGGCCATTCCAGTTTGGTGCCAACTTTCCTTGGGTCTTATCCCTACGTGCTTCGCCTGTAACCCGCTAAACTAAGTCCCCGGGCTGAAATCCTCTTGGCTTGACCTTCGTCTGATACTTCCTACTTATCCGGTTCGACAAGCCTCCATATTGATGAGTGCTTGATCTCGAGCTTCGTCGACTAAGTCCAGCTCTATGGTGAGTGCTTGGCCATTGGCTTCTTCCCCAAAATGTGTCCGTCTCAAGGAGGGGTTTCCGCCTTCCACTGGATCATGGCATCTGTGCTATAAGTCAACCGGAAAGGGGTCTCTCTAGTTGAGGTTTGCGGGGTGCAACGGTATGCCCACAGGATTTCTGGCAGGCAATCGGGCCATGTCCCCTTGGCCTGCCCGAGTCGTTGCTTTAGCTCCTTAAGTACGACCTTATTTGCCGCTTCTGCCTGCCCATTCGATTGTGGGTGCTCTACTGAAGTCATCTTATGCTTAATCCCCAGCCTAGAAAGAAAGTCATTAAAGCGGCGATCGGTAAATTGTAGGCCGTTATCTGTGATCAGAGCGTATGGGATTCCGAAGCGAGTTATAACATTTTTCCAGAAAAATTTCTGCATATTATTGGCCGTGATGGTGGCCACTGCCTCCGCCTCGATCCATTTAGTGAAATGATCGATGGCCACAATGAGAAACTTCAATTGGCCTTTCGCGGGTGGGAAGGGTCCCAAGATATCCATGCCCCAGGTAGAGTGAGTTCCACATATGCCTTCGTGGATTTCTCGAATCACGTAGTGCGCCTGTTCGGGTGGCAAGCATTTCAACAATGGTGACGAGATTCCTCTCTTGTATAAGTCTCCAGCGATGAGGGTGTATCGTGCCGCCGTGGTTCTCATCTTCTTTGCCTCCAAGGGGTCCGTCGGCAATGACCCAGTTTCCAGGTATTTGACAATTCCGGTCATCCAAGTGTCTTCCCCCTACTGGAGCTGTAAACACTCAGCCTCCCCTATACTAGGTGCCTGTAGTTCTTGCTGTATGATGCTGCACAAGTGGCTTGTCTTTTTGCTGCTTGCCAATCTGGCCAGTTGGTCGGCTCTCACATTCAGTTCCCGAGGCGTGTGCTCAATTTTGACTTCTTGGAAGTTGTCTTTTAGCTTTTGGAACTTATGGAAGTATAAAAGCAAAGTCGGCTCTTTGATTTGGAAAGTGCCGTTGACTTGTCCCGTTACAACTTGTGAGTCACTCCAGCATTTGATCCTGCCGACACCTAATTCGCTTGCCAATCGCAGTCCGGCCAGGAGGGCTTCGTACTCGGCTTGGTTATTGGAGGTCTTAAAACCGAACCGTAATGACTGTTCAATTACTACTTTACCAGGGCCCTCGAGTATGATTTCGGCCCCACTACCCTGCAAATTCGATGACCCATCCACGTGCAACGTCCAGACGTGCGGTTCAGGCGGTGCCTCAGGGGTGAACTCGTTTATAAAGTCGGCCATACTTTGTGCCTTGATGGGACCTCTTGGTTCAAAACGAATTTCGAATTGCGACAACTCTACCGACCAAGAAACCATACGCCCTGCCAGTTCGGGCTTCTGCAAGACCTTGACGATGGGGGAGTCCGTCCTGACAACTATTTTGTGGCTTTGGAAGTAGGGCCGAAGACGACGGGCCGTGAGTACGCGAGCTAAGACTGTTTTCTCAAGATGCTGATATCTGGTCTCTGCTTCTTGCAGAACTCGGCTGATGAAATATACCGGTATTTGTTCCGTTTGCTCTTGTACTAAGACCGTGCTGATAGCTTTATCTGACACGGAGATATAGACGATCATCTCTACAAGGGGGTTTGGTTTGGCTAGTAGGGGCGAGGCCGCCAACCTTTTCTTGAAGTCCTGGAACGAAGCCTCACACTCTTCTGTCCATTGGAATTTTGTTGCCTTTTTTAACAAAGACATTATCGGCCTTGACCTTTCCGCCATGCACGGCAAGAAACGAGCCAGGGAGGCGATACGGCCAGCTAGCCGCTGGACTTCCTTTACGTTGCGGGGGCTTCTCATGTTGATGATTGCCTGACACTTGTCGGGATTCGCCTCTATGCCTCTCTTGGACAGCATGAAACCTAAGAATTTTCCCCCGGCGACTCCAAAGGTGCACTTGGCTGGGTTCAACCGCATATGATGTCGCCTTACTTCGTCAAAAATGTTGGTGAGATCTCTCAAGTGGTCAGTTGAAGATGCCGACTTAATCACCATATCATCAACGTATACCTCCATACAAGATCCGATCTGTCGACGGAAGATCTTGTCCATGAGACGCTGGTAAGTTGCTCCAGCGTTTCGCAAGCCGAATGGCATCACCCTGTAGCAGTAATTTGCCGAATCAGTGATAAACGCGGTCTTGTCTTCATCGGGTGGGTACATGGGTATTTGATTGTATCCCGAGTAAGCGTCTAGGAAGCTTAATCTCTGATGGCCTACCGCCCCGTCGACAAGCGCATCAATATGTGGTAAGGGATATGCATCCTTCAGGCATGCCTTGTTCAAATCCGTGTAGTCGGTACACATCCGCCACTTTCCGCTTGCCTTCTTGACCATAACCACGTTGGCTAACCAAGTCGAATATTTAACTTCTCGGATGAATCCGGCTTGCAACAATTTAGCCGTTTCTTCCCTTACCGCCTGAGCCCTCTCTCCTCCCATTTTTCTTTTCTTCTGGGCGACGGGCTTGGCATCTCGGCACACGGCGAGCTGATGGCAGTGAAAACTTGGGTCGATACCGGGCATGTCGGCCGCCGTCCAGGCAAATAGATCCGAGTATCTCAAGAGGGTTTGCCTAATTTCTCTTGCTTCATCCTCCGTCAGTTGAGAACTCAGGTACGTGACCTGTTCCTCGCTTCTTCCGAGTTGAAAAGGGATTGTCGTCTCGATTGGTTCGACTCGGTGCTCGTCTTCAATTCGTGGATCGAGCTCCAAGTCTGTGACCGGATCTTGGAGACGGACGTCTCCTATGGCGTTGACTTCTCATCTCGACTTCGGAGTTGGTTGCACTTTTAAGCTAGCGAAGTAACATTCGCGGGCCGTCTTTTGATCGGCATGCAGCGTGATAACTATGCCTTCTTCCGAGGGGAACTTCATAGCCAGGTGGGGAGTGGAGACGATAGCCCGGAGCTTGTTCAGGGAAGGTCGGCCCAACAAGATGTTGTACGAGGTGTTAGCATTCACCGCCACGTATCGTACCTTAATCCTTCGCCTTGGCTGGTCATCTCCGAAGTAGGTGTATAGGTCTATCGTCCCTCGGGTGTCCACTCTTTCACCTGAAAATCAAACCAGGGGCTCGTTATAAGGTGTCAACTCGTGTTCGGGTATACCTAGTTGTTGAAAGGTTTTCCAATACAAGATGTCGGCTGAACTTCCCTGATCCACCAGCGTTTTCTTTTCAATACAATTGTTGATCTCTACACTGATGACCATGGGGTCGTCCTGCACCGGGTCAACTCCCTTGAAGTCCTTGTCGGTGAAGGTAATTGGCGGCATACGGATCGATCCTACCCGCATTATTGCGTTGACTGATCTGATTGCTCTTAGGTGTCTTTTTCGTGCGGAAGATGTGCTTCCACCCCCTGCAAATCCTCCGGCAATTGTGTTTATGACCCTCCTGGGTTGATTTCGATCTTGTTGCCTATCGTTTCTCTCCGGGGTCCTGGTCCGTTCCCTGGATCTGTGCCTCGGAGGTGCCCTTTCACGGTTCCCCCTTCCGGACTCCCTCTTATCATGGAAGTTGTCGTACCTCTTCCTACTTGACGGTTGGGTAAAATTTTGTAGATGACCGGACTTGATGAGATCTTCAATGCGGTCTCGGAGGGCTGTGCATTCCTCTATGGTGTGTCCTCGGTTCCTGTGAAACTGGCATGTTTTGGTTTTGTCTGCGTGGGGTGGTGTCATGGCGCGGCGGGGCACTGCGAGGATCTCTGTGGCCAATGCTTGTTCTAACACCTTGGTCCTACTGGTGTTGAGTGGCGTGTAATGTGCATACCGGGGACCCCTGTTGGTTCTATCTCGATCAGGTGCGTGACGAGGCCTTGGAAGATGCTCCTTTTCAGCTTCTTTCTTTCCCGGGAGAAGGTCGGCCCGGTTCTGATTTCTGAACTCAGCCAATTCTTCCATTTGCATATACTTAGTAGCTCTTTGTCGAAGGTCGTCTAAATCTCGGGGCGGCTTCTTGCATAGGCTGTTTACAAAAGGGCCCAGTATCAACGCCGTGATGAGGTGATGCATGGCTACCGCCGGATCGAGGTCTCGGATTGCAAGGGTCATTCTTCCGAACCGTTCCATGAAGGTTCTTAGGGGTTCTTTCTTTTCTTGGCAGATATTGACCAGTGCAATTGAAGTGAGTTGATGAGGTCGACTTGTGGCGAACTATATTACGAATCGGGAGGACAAGGTTGTGAAAGAGTCTACCGACCCTGGTGGGAGTCTTGTGAACCAATTCAGGGCCGATTCCTTTAAAGAGGTGGGGAAAATTTTACACATGATCGCATCATCATCGGTGTATAAACCGACTTGAGTAACGAACGCATCGAGGTGTTCTTCGGGATCGGCGGTTCCATCGTATCTTTCTAAGGTCAAATTCTTCCAATTGTCGGGCAATCGGGCTCCGGCAATATCCGAGGTGAATGGTGTCCTCCCCTGCTTCCTCTGCTGATCCATGGTTGTTGTCGTCCCTCCACCAGGTGGCTGAAGAGCCTTCGTTTCTTTGTACCACCCTGACGACTCCCCATAGTCCCGAGTGGGTTGGGTGTTGGGGGTGTCATGAGAAGGGTGCCACGACCTGTTGTCACTTCTGAGCTCGACATTCTCTCTTCTAAGGATCGATAATTCGTGGGCATCCTTTTCTCGGAGCTTCCTGAGATCCATCATTTCAGCCTTCAGCTACTCGATGGCCGATGACGGGTTGGGTTGTTGGGATCAGTCCACATACGATTCTTCCATTCCTTCCTCGTTCTGATTAGTGTGTCGTCTAATGGTGTCGCGTGGCATCCCGAAGGGGTGGTCGACTACATTCTCTTGTTGACTCCTGGTTGTCACCATCTTGCTTCCGGGTCGAGAACCGTTCTTGGTTTTCGGCCCCACGGTGGGCGCCAAAATGTTCCTGCGTAGAAACACTCCTCTTATCGTTCTTCCTTCTTGGTCTTCTGAGTCCTCGTGCCGACCGAATACTGTCCTCGAGAGGTGGGGAGGATACCTGCAAAGGCACTCCAACGATCAAGTGAGTACTCGGTATAAAGCAATAAGTGCTTTTATATTGGATGATAACGTACGTTTTTATGTCACATCACCTGTGTATTTATAGTGACACAATTGGGCCTGGTGGGCCTTCAGTCTTGGGAGATGGGTAACACTTGAGTTAGCCTTAATCTTCTCTTAATCTGGCATGGTAATTAGCGCATAATAAGTATCTAACTTGCCACGTGTTGTTTGTGATCTGCTCTTTGTTGAAGTCCTCGGCTAGGCGTAAGGCCGAAAGGGTGTTCGGCCTCCCCCGAGGCCGAAAAGGTGTTCGGCCTAGGTTAATGCCGAGGAGGTGTTCGTACCTTAATTTACCTTGCTAATAACATGAATTGTCCTACTGAAGTGTTCTTGGCCAGGTTCAAGGCCTAAGGGGTATTCGGCCAAAACCAGAGCCGAAAGAGTGTTCGGCCAACACCAAAGCCGAAGGGGTCTTCGGCTGGGCCTTCAACCGAGGTACCTGGCTGTTCCTTTGGTCAAGCTTGAAGCTGGAAAGATTTTCGGCCTAGCCAAGAGCCGAATGGGTGTTCGTTCAACTTGTCGAGGTGAGCCTTGGGCTACTCCTTTGGTGTATTCGGCTAAGTCCGAGACCGAAGGGGTGTCATGATGTGTGCCTTGTCGGTTTGGGCGAGTCCGAGACCGAAGGGGTGTCATGATGTGTGTCTTGTCGGTTCGGGCGGCCTATTCGACCTATATTCTGACCGAGAGGGTGTATACTATTACATGTTGTAAACTAGTTATTCAGATTTAGATATCGAATCATATTTTAATGTTATATAATATGTTACTTCTCATGAACTTTCAAGAGAGAAAAACATTGAATAAGAAACATCATGAACTTTTGTAGACATTTAGATAAGTTATATATATATATTAAAAAGTGTTTTGATAGTAACTTTTTAACAAAAATTAATAGAGTTTTAATAAAAATTAAAAATTAATAAAATGTCATATATTGAAATCTATTGAAAGAAGGGATTGAATGTTTTTTTAATATAAGAGGAGAAAATAATGTAATATTCATATTTCTAATAATTTTGTTAAAATTCTATTAATTTTTGTTAAAAAGTTACTATCAAAACACTTTTTACACTGATACACTATCATAGATGTAAATATTATATTATATTCTTTTCTTGTGTTAAAATAAATATTTTTTTTTAACAAATTTAAATATATTACACTTTAACAATTTATTTCTTAATTTATATATTTAATTAATATTTTATAAATTATTATAAATTTTGTTAAAATTAATTATATATTTTAAAAACTCATTATTATTTTTATTTTTAAAGTTAGATATCAAATTATATATATATACATGTATATAAGTACAATAAAATCAAATATAAATATTAAGATAGTATTTAATCAATGTAATTAATATAATATTTTTATTATATAGTATTAATTATATATATATAATAATAATAATAATAATAAAGGTAATATATAAGTATTAAAGTATTATTTATTTGACGTTATTAATAAATAATTTTAATAATATTTAAATAAATTAGTTTTTTATGATAAATATTATTTATTATATTTAGTTAATATAATGTTAAAATGTGTATTAAATATATATTTTTAAACAAATTATTAAATAAAAATAATTATTACAAAATTCGATACTTATATATATATAATTTATGTTATAAATTTTATTTTATTTATTATTTTAATAGCTTAATTTAATTATATATTAATGATAATATATAAGTATTAAAATATTATTTAATTGATGTTACTAATAAAGTATTTAAATAATATCTAAATAAATTAATTTTTATAAGGTATTATTTTGATATTTAATTCATATAATGTTAAAATACGTATATTATTTAATAAAATATATGTATATCTGAGAGTTCACTGATTAACCAGAATCCCGAAAAGCAATGATAATAGCGGCACTTCCTTTGACTTTGTCTGTCTTGAAAAACATGTATTGTCCTCCTTGTTTGTTTTTGTTTTCACCGCCAAATCTAGTGAAAAGAAGAAGAACAATAAAAAGCCGTCACGCTCCAAATTTCTGAATTATTTTGCATGCCCTCCTTCTCTTTCATTCTCCCTCCAATTTCAGCAATGTTTAAGTACCTCATTCCACCACCGCTTTCTTCCAACCTTCGCCGCTTCTCTTTCTTTCTCCCCAAAACGTCACCGTCTTAGCCATGGAGGGCACTGTCTCATTCACACACATTCAGACTAACAAAGAGAACATCCCTCCACTGTGCACCAATGGGGAAAACAAGAAAAACCCAATTCCTCCCATGGCCCCATCTTTCAAGAGGAAGGTAAAGAGGCTACCTCTTGCTGATATCACCAATCTCTTCAACAATTCTGCTCAGGGACAAAATGGGGTTTCTTATCTTCCTTCTGTTCCGCTTTCACTTCACTCTGCTTCCCGAAACAGAACTCCGGTGCTGCTTCGTGGCTCTAAAAACTTCAGGATGGGATTCAGATGAATTCGTTTTTCCCTTTATGTTTCATAGTATATAGGAACACAATATTCAGGAGATGCATCTTCAAATTCAAGACTTAATGTTCTGCAATTGGTTAGGGTGAAGAGACCTTATATCCTGCAATTTTATTAATTAGGGTTTAGACAATTTCAATTTTTCTCTTAATTTATTTTTTGTAGTTAATGATAAGCCTTGTATTGTTTGTAACCAAATGTATTATGTTTTAAAACAAATACAGAAGGAAGAGACAGATCATTTTACTGTGTTGCTATTACCTTGGCTCCATTGTGATTTTGACATGATTACCTAATCTGATCATGATGTTTTTCTTTGATAAATAAAATAATATATTGAAAAATTGAATTCTCATTGAGCACAAGATGTGTGAATTATTGGAAACAGAGATAGAATTACAGGGTGACCATATATTATTATAAAAACAGGTGGCTTTATGCACAAAATTATCAAAAATGAGATGACATTAAAATTTCTCACTAGCACCCTATAGAGACCTGTGCTTCATTAATTCATTCCTGATACACCTTTGTATGAATATACTACTCTGTCCATAGTTGTTCCTTAATCCTTTTCTTGCTCCCTAGATGCCAAAAGGAAACATGGCAACACCAGTATTATATTCACATTTAAGTTTCTTGACAAATAATGAAAAGCTCCTAAAGGATAGTCACTCTTAACAAAACATGGATGGATTAGTGAATAAACAAATGTTTAACTGACCTCATTTAAGAGATAATTTGAAGGAGAGGGGGAGGTGGGGTGGGCGGAGGAATTGTTTCCATTAAATTCCATCACTATTTGAAGGAGCTTATGATTATTACAGTAATTACTTAAGAACAAATAAATTACAACTTGAAGAAGGAGAAAAGATAGCACCAATAACCAAAAATGAATTATCCCACCTCTTGTGATTCTGGTGTCTAGCTGTTTGACAATTAGAGAATAAGATTCATTCAATCAATAAAATCCTTTAATATTATGCACTTCTAAGGTAGCTCCTTTAAAGACATTGCTGAGGAACTATGCTTGCATTGCTCCATAATTGACTCCATTGCCCCATAATTGACACCATCAATAACAATGTGAAAGACTAACTCTTTTGGATGGTCAGCATTGACGATTGTAGCGTTTAGAGTGTAGAGTGTACAATTACAGATGTAGCAAGTATATTATCTTAAATAATGCAGAAATGATATTGATTGTTATCTGTGAGCCCGGGGAGTTTCTCCTCTCATGTGAGAGAATAAGTTTCACATTTAAGTAATGAATACTCTTGAGTAGTGCTTCAACTGATGTTTGAGCCAACAGTGTTTTGAACTATTGCTGCATTCTCACAGTATTCCAGTGCTTGAATATGAGATTTCATTGTCACCATGGTGGTTTCTCTTTTGTTTTTCATTTTACTTGTTAACTTATTTAAAAAGTAATTGAGTTTCATAATGCTATTGCGGAGTTAAATGAAACAAGTTGTTCTTGTGCCTCCGAGTATCCAAGACTTTCAATTTGGGAAGATTCTGAAAAAATGATTAATTTCTTACAGTT